ACTCTCCACCCGATCCCTATTCAGTTGTTGCAACGGTTTCCTGCCCGTGCAATGCTTTTACCACCTCTAAAAATATACCCTCAAAATGAGGGAAAGCCACCATATCAAAAGTAGAGGCTTTGATTTGAGGGCCATCGCCGGAGATGCTCTTACCGCCTCTAAAACCACGACATGACACTCAGCCTCCTAGGCTCATAGTGGCCTTTCATGGTGTTTAGAGTAAAGTATGCAAGAGACACAAAAATAGAGAGAATGTTTGTATTGATCTCATGAATGATTACACACACACACATATATATATATATATATATAAGGGTCTCTCGAAAGAACATATTCTTCTATCATCATTAGCAACTACTAATGATGTCATTAATCTTTGATCACTAGAAAATATTATTCTAACATATGGTGCCATGACGAACCTATAAGTGGTGTTATTTAAAATGTGAACAAAGATAATTGTTTGCAAGGATCTTATCAAATTGGTTTACCTAAACCGAATGTTTTTTTAACCAACTCAGCTTAAACCAACTCTTGTAATCCCTGACCACTAACGCATAACCACAAGATCTAGCCGTGAAGTATATATATAACCATGGTCGCCAGGTTTTCGAGATTCAACGCCATTCCAAAAGTACACATTCAACAAAAACAATTATTAATAAAACTATTAAATTGGTAGTAGAAAATAATACATTATTTCGTTGTTATACTAAAAGCTCGCTATTTATGTTGTCTCGCTCATCATCCATAGCACTACCTGGAGTGGGGTAGAGGTGCTCGTCTTGTCCACTTGATATGCTACCAACCATACTCGAGTCATTTGAGTGGCTAACATGGTCTCCAACAACTTGAAAAAAATCAACTTAACGATTGTACCGTGAGTACAACCATACTCACACGGTTTATCCAAACATACTATATACTTTGGTGGATGCAAAGAGAAATCATAGTCCTTTTATAGTTTGCATAATTAAAAATGTCTCATAAATTAATAAATGATATGGCACTAAAGGACTTGAAATGCACTAAAGGACTCAAAGTAAGGGAGGTCATCATCCACAAACACAAAGAGCCAAATACACATGTCTACTCTGAGCGAGGCCAAACACCTAGAACATTATCATAACCGAGAGTGCAACATTTCAAAAATGATCAAATAACTCTAAAGAGGGGTATAACTTTACTCACATGAAGCACGAGACTGCGCTACCATGCCCGTGCCTGGATAAGGGGCGATTCATTCCTACAACCTTTCCAGCAAAGGGCTAAGTCGACAATGAATGGACGAGACATGGAGCAGTACTAATCAAATTGCATCGAATCCATATTACAACTTGTCACATCTTGATACTTGGCTTACCACCTCCATATAATGGCATATGATCTGTACTAAGGGTGTTCCAAACTCACCACAGCAGATGCAACGGTCCTTAACTAGCTCAAGCGAGACACGTCACTCGAGTTCTCGACTCACCATGACCCTACCCTCACGTTGATCCTTCGATCCTAAAACCATCATGCTTATCCCATTGATCTCATGTTGTTCCATGTTAGTATAGACAATTTAGTAATCAGGTTGTCCCTTAGGCCAATTTCAGTGGAACTTAGGGAAGTGCTTCCCAGCATAGGACCCGTTATGTCCATCACATTAGAGATAATAAATCTAACGATAATGCTTTGATGAGGACGCACGTCCGGGCTTGTCCATCCGGACGCCCCTGTTCCTAGGCCCGTGCATCGATTGGGTCCAATAAGCAACACGTCGTTCTTTCACTCCCGAACATTTTCACCACTCGCGACCGCTACCACTTTCACGGCCTCGTCCGCCCGCAGCGGCCACGGCCACTGTGCCATTCACCCGCAGCGGTCGCGATGCGCCGTCCGCGCGGTCTACTTTGCCTGTCCGCCACGCCCCGTCCCGCGCCGCACCCGCTCCAATCTCGCGCCGTGCCGTGCCCCATCCCGCGCGTCCACCGCCGTGACCTATCCACCTCGCTCGTCGCTGCCATGGCGTCCAAAGCGCCACTGCCACCCCGACGCCAGCAGGAGGAGGTCACCCGCCGTTGCTCTCAACGTCCTCTTAAACCGAGTGTTTGCTGGCTATGGTAGTCCCCCACCAGGTAGGCCATGGCCGCCCCGGCGCCCGTGTTTCAAGTGTTTTAGGCGTTTCAGACTTATGTTTCAAGTGTTTCATCTGGATGTTGCAAAAGTAGAACAAGGATGTTTCATATATTGTGATGACAATATACACATGTTTCAAGTCTATGTTCAAAGTGTTTCAGATGTATGTTTCAAGTGTTTTTATCTGGATGTTGCATATGTTGCTATGGCTGCACATGCATGTTTCAAGTGTTTGTTTTCATGTGTTTCAGACTTATGTTGCAAAAGTGGATCGGGATGTTGCATATGTTGCTATAGCTATATACGCATGTTTCAATAGCATGTTTCAAATGTATCATCTATTTTAGTTGTATGTTGTAAATGTTCCATCTTTATGTTTCAAAAGTAGATCGGACGTTGCACGTGTTGTAATGTGCGCTGGTGGCCGGCGAACAATGGCCTGCCGTAGTAGCCTGGTGTTGTTCTTTGCTGAAGCGCCGCCGTAGTTCACGCAGGCCATGAGCTGATAGGCGTGGCGAGCTTGGTGTCTTCTGAGCGCCGCCGCCGTGGTTCACGCGTCTTGGCGCGGGCGCGGTTCCGAATCTGCGGCACTCGATGCGGGTGGGCGTTGGGTGCAGGCGCGGAGCTCCGTCCGAACGGACACTGCCTCCGGAGCGGGATTTGGCGCGGGGCGAAGGGAGTTGCGTGCATCGGGCACAGGTGTGAGAGCTGGGGCCGGACGTGGCGGCGCTAGCGCCTCCCTAAATCTAATCGCGAGATATTTTGACTACTTTCCAAAATAAAAAATAAGGGTTTGCTCCAATACTTCCTTTTTTTTTCAAAATTGCACAAATTTCAAAGCAATCTACCTAATTATTAAGCATTGTTGTAATTAATTTTCACGTGGGTCCGTATGGGCCCAGCCCTCCCAACCGCTGCTCGTCTGCAGCCCAGGCCTATACCCAGCCCGTTTCTTATCCTCCTTCCAGATTGCTTTCGTTTGGGGCTTCTTTCCCTGCGCGACGCAACGAACGTATAGGTGGTGGCTCTGCGAGCTGTCCACGGCGATGGAGCTTCACAAACAGTCGCTTCGGCCGTGATGAGTGATGACATAAGCGCCGTAACTACAAAGATATTTAGTTAATTAGGTGTGTTGCTTTAAGACGTGTGCACATTTTTAAAAGAGAACTATTAGAGCAGTTCTCAAAATATATATAATATATTATTTTTCTTAATACCTTGTAGGAGACAATATGTTGTAAAAAAGTGTCTAGATCAACGGTCCGTTTAGGAACGTCCTCGTTCGTTCCAGAAACGAGGTCATGTTCGGTGTTCCACACGTTCCACGCTGCTGCTGAGAGCCTGAGAAGCGTACTCGTCCCTTCGGATTCCACGCTGTTGTCTGTCTTGTTGCAAACTGAGAAATCCAACCGTGAAACAGACCGCGATGCTGACAGGCGCAGAGTGCTTAGGGTGGGTATGTTGCCGTTTCAGCTAGGCAAATCTCCGTTTCTCCTTGCCGTGAGGGTGCGGGACTCTTGCTGAGAGCGCCTTCGTGTTCTGCATAACGAGGGAGAACTCACGAACCGACAAGTGTTCGGGTGCTAGACGAGGGAGAACTCACGAGTCAGGAGGAAGAGTGAAGTTACTGTTACTATGCTGCTGTTCAACATCCGTCCGTCGTCAAAGGGGCAACTCATCATCACCAGTCATCGCGCAGAGATTTCTCTTTCGCAGCTGGTACGACCCAGCCAATAAGCAGCAAACCAATCACAAGTGCAGGTGCAGTGGACGTGGTACTGCGCTAAACTGGTGTGATGATAGGAAGAGTACCTTCGTCTGTGTCCTGAAACAAAGCCGAGGGGATATTCGTCCATTTCCATGCTGAGTGACTGAGTGAGCTTTGTTTTACAAATGAGTGTTTGACAAATAAAATAGCTCATCACAGCTCAAACAGGCCCTATAACGAGCTGAGCCGAGTGAGCAGCAGCCAGCAGGAAGGATGGAGGTAGCTTCTACTGCTAGAGCTTACTACTAGCCTCTCGCTCGCTTTGTTTATCTTTATCGTCGTCCTACATGGCAATTGGCAACAGGCCAAGTGAATCGTATCGCCCATGCATCTTCTCCAAACGCCAAACGAATGTTCGCCGCAGCTACTCCTTGGGAACAGGGATTAATGCACGGAAATTAGAATAGTGCCCGCCAGCGGCCGCGGCTGACGCCTGCCATGTGCCAGTAGTCAGTCGCTGTCGAGCGCTACGCTACGCATTGACCCGATTCGGCCGCGTATTTTACGGGTGCGCCTTGCCTCTCAGGCAGGTCACGACGTTACGCCAGGCCAAGTGGCCAAGTCGCCGGTTAATCTTGTTCGCTTATATAAACTGTTAGTACGTAATTGTTAAACCAGGTGGAAACCATAGATATCGAGTTAGATTTGTCTTAGCTGGACAGGGTCCAGTGATCCATCGATGCGGAATGGCGCAACACAAATGGAGCCAGACTGCACGGGATCTAGAGCTCTCGTTAACAGATTTTAGTTTATTTATAATAATAATCTGCAAAAGGATTCACAACTCCACAGGTTTGGAAGACGGAATCGGCCTACACATCAACCAAATTGGCTAGTTTCCTAGTGCCTCTCTGTTTCGCCTCGCTTTTTAAACTGTTGGGAGCCGCTGTAAAAACCAGGGCGCTCTCCTCTGCCGTTGGTTTCGGAGACACGACCCAAGACGAGGCAACTGCTGCAGACTTGAGTGCTGACGGTCGAGCAGGTTTGGCGGCGGTCACCCGTCTGACCGACCGGGCGGGGTGGGCCGCACATGAGGACAGGACGCGATTTGCCTTGCCACGGATCGGATTCGCGTGGCCTGCCCAACTGCCAGCCACGCACACGCAGCTCACTGGAAGCCGCCCAGGCCGGTGAGCAGCAGCTCGTGAGGCCGCAGCAGCGTCGGGGTGGGCAACGCCAGCAGCGGCGTGGACGGCAGGGAAGACGGGTACGACATGTCGTAGTCGCCCGCGTCGGGCCACGGCGCGACGGCTGCGGCGGCCCAGGGATCCGCGGCGGCGCCGGGGATGAGCGGCGCGCGGCAGAGCGGGCAGGTGCGCTGGTCGTGCGCCATCCAGCGGTCGAGGCAGGCGCGGTGGAAGGCGTGGCGGCAGTTGCTGAGCCGCCGCACCTCGTCGCCGCCGCCGATGCCGCTGAGGCACACCGCGCAGTCGCCGTCCCCGCACGCCGTCCCGGCCAGCTCGTCGAACCGCACCACGGGGAGCGCCTCCTCGACGAGCACCGCCGGGACGGGCCGGAAGTCCGGCCGCCGGTGCTGCAGCGGCGCGGCCGCGTCGCGCCCCTGGTGCTGGTGCTGGTGCTCCTGCGCTGCCGCCGTTGCGGGCGCGGAGGGCGGCGGCGCGGGGTAGTTGCAGCCGAGGTCGATGAGGTCGCCGAGCCCCACGGCGTGGAAGGCCCAGAGGAGGAAGCGGTGGAGGTGGCCGAGGAGGAGGAGCACCTGCAGCAGCACGCGCGGGAGCAGCATCTCCGAGTGCCCCACGGGGAAGCCCATCGTGGCGTCAATCTTGGAGCGGCGGAGCTCAGTGGCGGGCGGGCGGGCGTGGTGGTCTGCCGTGGCAAGCGCGCGCTCGTGCGTGCGTGGAAGAGGCCAAGAGGCAGGAGGACTGACCGACTGAGCCGGGAGCAGGTCGTATATATATATAAGAGGTCGAGACTCGAGCGGGGAGGTTGGTCCCGTTTTGTCACCTCTCTCGGCGGCTCTCGCTCGCAGCTGGAGCTTCCCAAGCGGCCAAGCCTCATCTGCTACAACTTGGGCCGGCTGGCTACCTACTTGCCGTCCGTCAATTGACGAGGAGATGCCGCCTTTCAATTATTTGACCAAGAGGCAAACTCTGGCCCTATAGGTCCACGTAAAGACGGTTCAACGAGGGAAAAAGTAGTGTATTTGGTTTTGACTCGAGTTCTTCTCGTTCATGCACACCACAGTAGATGTAAACTTGTAATGGTCATAGGCGGCATCTAATTTCTTGGACTAGCTGAGGACACAAACGACGAGTACGTTTCCTGTACGCTAGCAGCTTGCACGCTAACCACCATAGGCCATGTTCGTTTGTCTTATAATCCGTACTTTTCAGCTTGTTTTTTCAGCAGGAAACAGTATTTTTCTCTCACGACAAATCAGTCAAAACAGTTTTTGGTTTGTTTTTTCAGAGAAGCGAACGGAGCCTATATCGATGAGGTCCTCCGACAAAAGAGCGATACGATTGATTAGCGTGCACTAGGCCCCTAATTAGCACCAAACCACTTTCTTAGAGAGTGGCGAGAGTCTGGAGACGTACATTAAAGTGCCGGCAGGAGACAGAGATGGCATCTCTCGGAGATCTGCTTGCAGCCCAGCGCTTGGACCGGCTAACCAATCGTTGCTATTTTTTTTCTCTGGGTGATCTGCTTGCTGTCCCAACTTAAATAAACTACTACCTCCTTCGATGCATACTATTACATGGCTGGTGATTTTTGGAGAAAAGTGTTTATCCTCATAGCACGGTTCATGAGAATTTATAAATATTAATATACAACAAATGCATCGCTTCATCCAGAAAGCTAAACAAAAGCTCCGTTCGGTAAGTACGAGTAGTATGTATAGCTTCTTGCACTCAACAAGTTGGACCATCTTGTTTGATATGCATAACGAAAACGATAGTGAGTATTGTTCAAATTTCTTCACAAAAAAACCTAACTCCTTTCGTATAGACCGAGAGATGCGGTGCATTTTCTTGACTTGTTCCATACTAGGAAGCTCTCCTTTCACGTCATGGTACTATTACTAGTTAGAGACTAAAAGAGTCTTCGTGATAATTCTCATAAAACGATCGACATGCTAGAGAAAAAAAAATCTAGAAAACATCACAATAATCAGAAACACCTAACCTTCACTTTGGTAGACTCTATTCATCAGGACCAATAATAGTCATTTTATTTATTTTATTTCATGGAATTTTACCCACATGTGCCATTATGAAAAATACATAAAGTCATCCCTAGTTTTGTATCTAAATTACTCACCTTCTCCCATTATAAAATATAATTTGAAATGACTCCCTAAAGTTGCATGTAAATTACCCACAACTACCATTACGAGAAATAATTTAAATAACATCTTAAGTTTGCGTCTAAATTACCACATTTGTCATTGTGAAAGATGATTTAAAATAACTTCCTAGTTTTGCTTTTTAGTTACCAATATCCGCGATCTTGAAAGATGATATAAAATAACCCCTTTAGCTTGCATCTAGATTACTCACATCTTCCATATTAAAAGTAAACTAAAATGTTCGTCAAATCTAGGTCTAAATACTGATATAAGTTAATATACAAAAAATAATTTAATAACCATAAAAGTATGCTATATATGTTTCTAAAATTAGATACTTCTACCACTGCTAAGAAAAATAAACATAAATGATATATGTGCAACCATGTAGACCAAGTAAAATACATACATTAGGCTATGCATTTATTTGATAGTTTATCGATTTGGAAAATATTCCCTTAACAATTATGTACCAATGACACTAACATTCACTTTAAATTATATTAATACTCCATAATAAATTGTGTATATATGAATTTATAAATTTTGACTCAAATATACTAACATATTAATATTGATAGTTTAATCTTAATCACTCTATGTTTTTATAAAATAATAGTACTGCCCACATAATTCTTTGATATAACAAATTCAACATCTTGGGTAACATGGTGCATGTTGAAACAATTGTTTGTGCCAATATAGTAACTAAGAGTATATTGTTTAAACTTAATATATTTTTAATAATCAAAAGAAATATGTCGGTGCGAAAAGTGATCAACACGTAAATTTTTGTAGTTTTGCCATATGTTGTGATTGGATGTGGCCTAGCACTCAATGACACAGGGTTTATACTGGTTTAGGCAACGTGCCCTACGTCCAGTTTGAGTCGGTCGGTGACTTTATTCCTGAGCCCAGGTGCTCGAAGTTTGCTGTGGGGTTACAAACGAGTGAGAGTAAGATGAGGGTATCAGAGGTCCGGTCAGACTCTGGACTGAAGGGCCGAGAGTGACGGGAGCTCCTACATGCGCTGAGTATTTGAGCGTGTGCTCTGTTGAAATCGTTTGAATCGTAGGTTATTTAGCTCGATCGTGAATCGACCTAAATTGATCCGTGCGTCTGTTGGAGAGAGCACATCCCCTTTTATAGATGAAGGGGACGGCTTTACAAGAGAGAGTGTGAGAGAAAGAGTGTGTGTTGCCTAGTCTTATTGCCCACGCCATCGGGTACAAGGCGGTTTGCCCAATCGGCATGTTTGTGAAACCATAACACTTGTTAGAGTTATTTTGCCCCGATTATGTTTGCTAGGCTAGTGATGTTCATCTAGATGCATGTTTGGTAGGTTCCATCGCTCTTCTTACGGTATGGCAAATGTTTGGCTTTGGTCATACCATACTATAGGATAAATGTACGATGCGCCTCACAACATTGTTCATGTTTCGACATGTTCCGAAGGTGCATCCTCCCGACACGGCCTCGACAAAGATTATCTCGGATGATGCCGTCAGTACGACGCTTCATATTATTGCGCCTGCGCCTCCTTGCTGACTAGAGCGCCCTATCTTACTTGCTTTGTCCTTTTCCTAGGCCTTCACTGAGCGGGTGCGTCCCGAGTTAGTCGCTCCCCGCTTTCGGCTCTGCCCTCCTCTCTCCACCTGAAGAGTTGTATTGGAGGTTCGCTTGTTTCGCTACTCGGGAGATGGAGGAGCGAGTCGAGTCGCTTCGGCCGAGTCGCGAGTGTCGTCCTTCGGCCAGCCTTCCGAGAGCGGAGGCGAATTCTTTATTATTTGAAAATAGAAATGGTTTGCGGCGGATACGCTCCCTTCTCGGTTCCTTATCACCAAATCTTTGGGAAAAATTATTGCATGTCATTTTTGGGATACGAGCGAGTTGGAGGTGGATATTCGTCTTGAAAAATATGTAGAAAAACCTATAGGCTTCAGAAAATATGATTCTAAGTTTGTTGAGAGTAATGTACTTCCTAGGAGTGTGCTGTAGGAAAATTTTGAGGTGTAGTTCAAGTACCTTTAATGGCGCCTTTATTTTAGCTAGAGAGCAAACTTTGTATAAAACATGCATGGATAATTTTTGTAGGTGATTGTATGCTATGAAGATCATAGGAAGCTAACTCTGTTGTTTGATACTTTTCACAGTACAAAAGTATTTTCCATCATGCCATAGGTCGCCTTCCTGATAGTAGAGGGTAGGGTAATTTTCTAAGATTTTTCTAAATAATAAAAATAGGGGGTTTAAGCAAGTGTTGCTTTAAGTGTGATTAAGAAATTAGTGAAGCTTTGGTGTATCTTTGAAGCATTCAATAAGATGTGTTGACTTAACATATTAGTAGTAGAAGAGAATGCAGTAGATGACATGTGCTCGTAGTATATGTTCTTGGATGATGTTGACTACCTTGCATTTAAACATATCCATTGTATTCATCTCATTCGATGCACCGATTGCATAAGCACTTTTACGCACATTGCATCATACAGGATCGCAAACCGAGAACCGGTCGTCATACCCGAGGAGCCCGAGGAGCTTGCGTACCAGTAGGAAGTGCCCAAAGCCGACGAGGAGGACGTTGAGGAACTTCCTGAGTGCCTCGATCGCCGTCGAGCTCGCTTCGAGAGAGGCAAGCCCTTAATTGAGCATTTTCTCCCGGTTTGCAATTATTAATTATTAATTATGCAATGTTGTTTACTTTAGCCTTGCCTTGGTCAGAGAGTTGTTTGCAACCTTGTTATACCTTGTTACCTTTTTATACTATATCCTTGTTACCCTGGTATCCGCAATGAAGTCAATGCTTAGTCGGGCTTAGACCCAGGGCCTAGATCTCGCTTGGATGACTATGAAGTCGGAATAACTAAGTGTTAAATGAAGTTGAGACCGGACGGAGACTTGTAGAGTTTTGTTTCCGTCGTCGATTCCTTGTTGGGCCTCGAGTCATTTGAACGATGCCTTATATATAGGGCCGATAAAGGTACCTTTCGACCGGAAGTCGGTAGATTATTCAGCGTAGATTGCCCATGCCGCCTCTCTGTGGTAGGACACGGGCCTGATAAGACCAAAGTGCGAAAGGTATATGTGGTTTCCGGCAAACTCAAGATACCTAGATAGTTGACTCGGTGATCAATACCTCGTTGCTCTTTTGCCGAGCCTTTAGGAATCGATTCGAATCGGGCGGAGTCGAAATGTTGATGGAACACTTGGACGCTTATAATGAATATGACAAGATGGAAGTTGTTTAATGCATTGCATTATCTGCTTAATCCATCCTCTAGTATAGGTGCAAATCTAGTCGACAGGTTAATAACAATTAACTTGACAATAATGCTTTAGAAAGGTTCTTGAAATGCTAAAAATGCTTTCTTTGCAAATGAGTCAGCTACCCTACTATAAAGCCCTTCATAATCCTTGCTCTTATTTTGGTTATGTCGGGTAAGTCTAGCCTTCTCGTACTC